CAGTTTATACTTTTGATGAGGCAGATCTGATAATAAAGATGGCACCGAACAAATGCAGCATTGTCATCAAGTCATATGTGACACGGTTTAGAAAGAGCATGGGATTTTTCAAAAAAGCTTCCATGTTGAATATGCGAGGATGCAAACTGGACTGAATATTATATAATGCCAATGACAAATTGTAGAGTTTTGCAACCCCACTAATTGATTCTATGAAGTTGTAATGGGAATTCCTCACTGATCCACGTAAATGTCTTGCAACAAATTCCTACATTGGCACTAGCTAGCTATAGAGACATCATAATTCAGACTTACCCGTACATTAGACAGACCATGGAGCTATACAAATAGCTCAATGAACAGACTACTGCAAGATCCATTCAGCATGACTCGATCCACTCGGTCCAGTTTTCATCATCCAGAAAACTTAACATGCCACCTACTAATACTATAGTATGTTCAAGCTCACATTAACACACTATATAATACTGGCAATTGATCTTTGCTTACAGGCAGAAGTGAGGCACTTATTTCATACAAATATTCACTGTTTTGAATTCTGCCATGTCCTGCCCCACGCACAACTGTACTGCTGCTTGTAGTGCTGTGATTCAAACTGTACTGGTTTTGCTCTTATTTTAACCAGAATTAGTTTCCTTGGCTAAAATTTGGAAATAATATCCCTTTTCTAAAACTCTTCCATTAGCGACGGATCAACCCACCTTGGAAATTCCTAGTTTTTGAGTAAAACCCATATTTCTATTTCGTGAAAACCTTGTGGAAACCTATTCATCTATAGAAATTGCCCTGTGGAGACCTTTACAATGTTTTGTTCCATATTGTGTGTGAGTCTCCACAAGGATATGAATTTGTGGTCAGTAGAGTAACTGTGTGGGTGACCGTTCGTGTGCAGAACATGACCCCTGCATGGTTAATACACTGTGTATATGGAATCACGCATGGGTCACGCATGGGTCACACACTGAACAGGGCACTCAAGCTCACGATGTGGTTGTGGAGAACAGGATACAGTGTACCTTGCAATACACATGTACATTGTACATGTAAGTATGCATGGGCTTTATGTACATGTACTGTACAGTAAACTTTTAGTACATATTGGGGCAATATTTGTACATGTATTTTTTTATTTCGGTGTGTTCTTATTCGGGTTTTTTAGTTATAATTTATGTACATTGTATATTGGATGGTAATCTTTTTTTCCTTTGGTAAATTATGTGGTAGCAGAACTATCATATTTTTTAAAGTTGCACATATAAGGCGAAGTAAAAAAACAAAAACAAAAAATGTTTCTCGTCCCTGCCAGCTTCCTTTTTGGAGGCCCCCTGGATTTTTTATCATGTTTTTAATTTTGAAAAATGCAGTAAAACAAACACCGAAAGGTACACGGTTAAACTGCATATGCAAACTGTTCATTGTAGACTAATACAACTCTAAATGACTGTAAATGTGTTCAGTTCTCTTGTCTAACTTGTCTTTCATTTTAAAAGTGTCTTTGAACAGTGGAAACACCAACGGTTGCAGGAAATTTTAAAATGGCGGCCATCTTGAAAAAAAAAGAAGCCCCTCTCAGCTTCCTCCTTTTTTTCAAAAACCCGGACGAGAAACATTTTTTTTTAATACGGCCTAAATATACATTCGGCCTAAATATATCATTTGTGTGTGTGTGGTATTTAGCATATATGGTACAACAGAAGTACCACATGATATCGAAGGAACCACACACATTTATGTGGTACTCTCCTCCAATTCCACTGACCTGTGGTAGTTTGTGTGGTATTTAGTACAGTACAACAGAAGTACCACAGGATATCGATGATTGGTGGCAAATACCACACACATGTGTGCGGTACTCTCCTCAAATCCTACTGTTCTGTGGTACTTCGTGTGGTACCTACATGTACCACATGAATACCACAGGACCGCGTTGGCATTACCACATACATTTGTGTGGTACTCTCTTCATATATACTTTTCCTGTGGTAATTTCTGTGGTAAACATATGTACCGCAGAAGTACCACAGAAATACCACAGGACATTTCCGTAAGGACGATGCAGAAGCCGAGGAATGGAACTGAATCTTACCTGTTACACTCTTGACTTTCCCTGCCATTGACTTGGTTTCTTCCCCAGTACCGCATCCAACGTCCAGTACCGTGTCTGTTGGTCTCAACTCCAGTTTGTCAATGTGTTGCATGATGACGGAATGTTGTAAGAATCTGCCATCCCCGCAGTAGTCGTTACTCGCTGAGAAATTCATGAGAGATGCTAATTTGTCACTGGTCGAAACAGACTATGAAAGTAATGATAATCTTTAGGAACTATGACTGTGTCTGAACAACCCCGAATGACTTCATTCACACACTGAACTGTCGGGTATCAAACGCGTTTTGCATGATTCATGTTCAGCATTGACGGCATACGACCTTGAACTGTGACATGAACATTACGCTATCATCATACATTGGCTCTCTCACCCTGGTATTGACGTTTGCATGTGCAAGATTTTTGAACACGTGGGCAAATGAGGAATAGTCTGGTGCGTGCTGGTGCGTTACATTGCGTTTGATTTTTTATGCAGTGTCGGGGTAAAAACAGAATCAATTCGTCGCAGCGCGAGCATATGGCGTGAGTTACGAAAACACGCTTTTATTTTAATTAAACTGTTACGATCTTAACAAAACAACTTGCAGTATCATATGTCATATTAATATTAACAAATTAGGAAGGAAATGAATGGTTTTGAGAAGGCGTGGACGAATGATCGCGAAAACACGTACTGCACGTTGTGAATAACAAACCACGTACACGATATAAATCCATTTCTGGCCAATTGCGGTATAGAATCAGAATACAGAAAGAAAGTGTCGTATCCAGGGCTATTGGAAACGAGGTTGGAAATAAAGTGAGCACTCGGGACGAGGTTGGGGGAGGGGAACACTCTACGCAGTGGCGGATTTGCCCCCCCCCCCCCTCCAGCCTGAGACAAATGTTGTGTAGAATGGGGAAAACATTTATGTTCAAATTGCCTTAGTTAGAATGCAGGAGAAATCACGCTGGTACCATCTGTCGATGGGGGCGCTTTTCAAAAACGACGATTATGCACACTAACGCACAATATAACGGTGCTTTTCAGGGCGATACGTACGCGACGTTAAATGGCGACGTTAAATGGCACAAACAAGGTACGACTTTTTTTTTATAAAAAGAGCACTTGTTCAGAAAAAAATGTTCTTGTTAAAAGAAGGTCACTCTTTACAAATATTGGGGGGGGGGGGCAGTCTTTACATAATATGGGGGGGGGGGGAGTATAGATACCCCAAGGCTACGTCTATGCTACTAAACTCTACACAGTGGCAGTGGCAAAAAAATAACTTCAACTTTAACTAGTAAACATTTTAACTAATGTTGTGCTCCTTAACAATTAGATAATGAAATCGAATTTGAAAAACCTGTTACACTCTTGACATCCCACGTCCAGTACCGTGTCTTCTGGTCTGAAGTTGAACTGCAGTTTGTCGATGTATAGTCTTTGAATTAGACCATGGCGAAAGCCATGCTCTATGATGCATGAGCAGAGTTTCTGATTAATTAGACAAGACCCCGCCTCTCGACCTCCTAGATTTTGACTAATCAGCGGGCTCTTTCTATTTCGGGTCTTCGGTCATTCACCCGTTGCGCGTCACGGACATGGATATAAAAAAAAAACTGAGTCACGGCGGTGGCGGCGCTCTGTATCATACTACGCGAATGCGCGCCCGGCTGTTGTTGTCTCACAAAACACTGCATTCGAATTCAGTCAGTTGCCGTGTCACGCATAGCTGCTCTATTTTCTCGACCAGACAACTGACAGCAACGCGAGGCCAGCGAACGATGGCCGTAAAAAGGGCTTTAGAAAATTCGCAATTTTCATGCCAAACCACAACTGATCCAAACAAACAAAGCTGTCTCAGGTAGTTAAAGACCTACTAAATGCATCTATCGAGGTATTTTTTTGTAAAAAAAAATGATTTTGATGAATGTTGACGATATTATTTCACGGACAAATCGACTAATATTATGTCAGGAAATATACGTTTTTTTTTCGACAACAACGAAAGTCTCCCAAATGTTAATGTACTCAAGGGAACGAATGAACCTTTATCTACAAAAAATCTCGGGAACGTGATGTCGTTAATATCTTAAGAATTCGATGTACACCTAATGTTTCTAACAACTTTTCGTTGGAAAACAACAATATTTTTCACAAACGCGAAAAGATCGTCGCTATTGCATGCATCGAGCTTGAGATGGCCTGCTTGATATTCATAAGTCATTCATTACACGTTCGCACGTGCTGTTCAGGCCGTTGGCCTCATGGTTGGCCTACTTACGTTCGTTTACACGCGTACATGAGATTGCAAACCATGGAATCTCGCAAAAGTCTTCTGATCATTTTACAACCGGCGATTTGAACTAAACATTAGAAGTCTCCTGCACGTGTTTCACATGAAAAAGAAGCGTATACTTTCCTCTATCTACTAAGCCTTGCCATTTCTTCAAAAGCAGTTATTTTTAGTATCAAAATAAAGCACACGACTTCAACTTTTAACTTATTTAGCCATCTTGGCCAAACAGTGCACGTATCCAGGTACTTTTGTGTTACATCTCGTAAAAACTCGCGTACGCTTTTGGGCTATGCGTGCGTGACATCAGAAACTGAGAAGAAACTGAGGTCAAACAGGGCTGTGTGCGCGACATGACGTCGACACGGGGCTTTATCTCTATGGCCAAGGTCATCAGGCCGACTGCGCGCTTTGTCTGGTTAACATGGGGTCATTTTGACCAAAAAGGATTTGATGATGCAAAACGCGTCTGATACCCGACAGTTCAGTGTTTGAAGGAAGTCATTCAGGGTTGTTCAGACACAGTCATAGTTCCTAAAGATTTTCATTACTTTCATATAGTCTGTTTCGACCAGTGAAAATTAGTATCTCTGATGAATTTCTCAGCGAGTAACGACTACTGCGGGGATGGCAGATTCGTCCATTATTCCGTCATCATACAACACATTGACAAACTGGAGTTGAGGCCAGAAGACACGGTACTGGACGTGGGATGCGGTACTGGGGAAGAAACCAAGTCAATGGCGGAGAAAGTCAAGAGTGTAACGGGTAAGATTCAGTTCCATTCCTCGGCTTCTGCATCGCCAGCTGCTCCAGGGAGGAGGTGTTGACGCACATATTTTTCCGGCTATCGTAGGTGGAATTTTGTGAGTTTGTAAGTTTTCTCGAGAAACTATGCGAGCAGCCAAAAAAGCATCCTATAATACGCACGAAATGCCGATTTTTTAAACACCCCCGTACATATGGCATACACAGTTTTCTCCCCCCCCCCCATTCAATAAATTGGGGAAGAAATTCAGATAGATAGACTCTGTTGGACCAAACTAGATAAAAATTCATTCGTTTGGTAATGCGTTTTAAAATTCTTAAGGGCTTCATCAATATTAATGCCCTTCATAAGTTTCATCCAGCCTCGAGAATTGGGCGAAATAATTATAGCCTGAAACTCGGTATTCCTTTTGCCCGAACTGATTGTTTCAAACATTCGTTCTTTATACGTACTGCAAATGAGTGGAAAAGTCTGCCCGAACACGTCATCCAAAGTCCATCTGTGAATGTGTTCAAAAGTTCCCTGTTTGATTTCTTGACCTTTTAGCTTAATATAGAATCTTTTTATTTTTGTGTTTTTATTAGGCAAGTTTTTCGTTTTATATCTTTACATATTTATTAGATAATTATATCTATTTTCAACTTTCATTTTTGTTTTATTATTATAAATTGTAACTCGTTTAATGCTTCTCTGTTGTGTGTAATTTGGTTTTGTGCAATTCCATTATTGTTTAATGTTATTTTGTTCTTATCTTTCAGAATTATATTTTCTAGTGTAAAAGATTGTTTGTTGCGCGTAATTGTTTGATAATATTTCTATTTTATCTCCTTTGTTTTTGTTGGCCAGTTGGTTTTAGGGTTTTTTTTTTTCCCACTTTTAAATTTATATGTACTTATTTTTAACGTTTTATTATTGTCTGTAATGTTTGTCCGCGCATCAATTTTATAAGCTGTTTCGGTTACAACCGAAACAGCTCTTGTTTTCGTGAAAGTTTTTTTAGCTGTTTCGGTGACACACCGAAACAGCTCTTGTTTTCGTTAAGATTTTTTTAGCTGTTTCGGTGACACACCGAAACAGCTCTTGTTTTCGTTCAGATTTTTTTTAGCTGTTTCGGTGACTCACCGAAACAGCTATTGTTTTCGTTAAGATTTTTTTTTTCTTTGTTTTTCTTTTTTTTTTTTTTTTTCTCCTTTTTCAGACTTTTTCTCCATAGGTTTAACACACGTTTCTTCCACCAGTCCACTTTGCCACTTTTTTAAATCCGATTGATTCGAGACTTGGTACATACTTAGAACACCACCCACAGATGGTCCTAGAAGAAATTTGTGATTGTGACGTCATCAGGTGTCAGGTTACGTCACATTAAAGATGCATTTTCCCCATATGTTTTGTACACGTTTTAAAACACTCCAGTTTGGCATCTTCGTAAATCCGATCGACCTCAGACTTGATACATACTTAGACCACCACCCACAGATGGTCCTAGAAGAAATGTGTGATCGTGACGTCATCTGGTGTTGGGTTACGTCACATTAAAGATGCATTTTTCCCCATAGGGTTTGTACACGTTATAAAACACTCCACTTTGGCACTTTCGTAAATCCGATCGACGTCAGACTTGGTACACACTTAAACTACCACCCACAGATGGTCCTAGAAGAAATTTGTGATCGTGACGTCATCAGGTGTTGGGTTACGTCACATTAAAGATGCATTTTTCCCCACAGGGTTTGTACACGTTTTTCTTCAAATCATACTTTGGCACTATATGTCTGATTGACTTTTCACTTGGCAGATGACATTCGAAGTGACTTCATCAAGTGTTCATCACGTGCACAGAGTATTTCAAATATCCGAAACAGCTTGTGTTTGTCCACAAACACATTTCTAGTTTTTTTTTTTTTTTCTCCTTTTTCAGACTTTTTCTCCATAGGTTTAACACACGTTTCTTCCACCAGTCCACTTTGCCACTTTTTTAAATCCGATTGTTTCGAGACTTGGTACATACTTAGAATACCACCCACAGATGGTCCTAGAAGAAATTTGTGATCGTGACGTCATCAGGTGTCAGGTTACGTCACATTAAAGATGCATTTTCCCCATATGTTTTGTACACGTTTTAAAACACTCCAGTTTGGCATCTTCGTAAATCCGATCGACTTTAAACTTAATTCATACTTAGAACACCACCCACAGATGCTTCTAGACGAAATTCGTGATCGTGACGTCATCAAGTGTCAGGTTACGTCACATAAAGATGCATTTTTCCCCATAGGGTTTGTACATGTGTTAAAACGCTTCATTTCGGCACTATTGTAGATCCGATCGACGTTACACTTGGTACAGACTTAGACCATTACCCACAAATGGTCCTTGAAGAAATTCGTGATCGTGACGTCATCAGGTGTCACGTTACTTCACATTAAAGATGCACATTTTCCCCATATGTTTTGTTCACGTTTTAAAACACTCCACCTTGGCACCTTCATAAATGCGATCGACCTCAGACTTAATACATACTTAGACCACCACCCACAGATGGTCCAAGAAGAAATGTGTGATCGTGGCGTCATCAGGTGTTGGGTTACGTCACATTAAAAATGCATTTTTCCCCATATGCTTTGTACACGTTTTAAAACACTTTACATTGGCACTTTTGTAATTATGCGATCGACGTTAGACCTGGTACACACTTAGACTACCACCCACAGATGGTCCTAGAAGAAATTCGTGATCGTACCAATTCCGAGATGGGTTATAGATGAAAATTCATGTGATGTCATCATCAAATGTCATGTGACGTCCCTTAAAGGGGCATTTTGTTCTTCATTGGCCTATATTTACAGACCTATATGTTCGATTTGGTTATAACTTGACATGTACGTATAATGTGCTGTTATAGATGACATTTTTAGTGACGTCAATGATTGTTCATCACGTGCATAGCGTATATCGAATATCCGAAACAGCTTGTGTTTGTCCACAAACACATCTCTAGTTTTTTTTTTTCTCCTTTTTCAGACTTTTTCTCCATAGGTTTAACACACGTTTCTTCCACCAGTCCACTTTGCCACTTTTCTTAATCCGATTGATTTCAGACTTGGTACATACTTAGACCACCACCCACAGATGGTCCTAGAAGAAATTTGTGATTGTGACGTCATCAGGTGTCAGGTTACGTCACATTAAAGATGCATTTTTTCCCATATGTTTTGTACACGTTTTAAAACACTCCAGTTTGGCATCTTCGTAAATCTGATTGACTTTAAACTTAATTCATACTTAGACCACCACCCACAGATGGTCCTAGACGAAATACGTGATCGTGACGTCATCAAGTGTCAGGTTACGTCACATTAAAGATGAATTTTTCCCAATATGTTTTGTACACGTTTTAAAACACTCCACTTAGGCACCTTCTTAAATCCGACCAACTTCACACTTAACACAAACTTAGATCACTACCCACAGATGGTCCTTGAAGAAATTCGTGATCGTGACATCATCAGTTGTCACGTTATTTCACATTAAAGATGCACATTTTGCCCATAGGTTTTGTACACATTTTAAAACGCTCCACTTTGGCACTTTCGTAAATTTGATCGGCTTTATACTTGGTACACACTTAGACCACTACCCATAGATGGTCCTAGAAGAAATTCGTCTTCGTGGCGTCATGAGGTGTCAGGTTACATCACATTAAGAATGCATTGTTTCCCTATTGGTTTTGTACACGTTTTTCTTCAAACTGAACTTCGAAAGTACAAGTCTGATTGGGTTAAAACTTGGTATACATATTCACATGGATGTGTTATAGATGGAAATTGAAGTGACATCATCATCAAATGTCATGTGAAGTCCCTTAAAGGGGCATTTTATTCTTTTATAGGTCTATATAAAATGTTCGATTTGGTTGTTACTTGACATGTACATATTATAATGTGCTGTTATAGATGACATTTATAGTGACGTCACTTATTGTTCATCCCGTGCTCAGAGTATTTCAAATATCCAAAACAGCTTGTGTTTGTCCACAAACACATTTCTAGTTTTTAGCTGTTTCGGTGACTCACCGAAACAGCTATTGTTTTCGTTAAGATTTTTTTTTCTTTTTTTTTTTAGCTGTTTCGGTGACTCACCGAAACAGCTATTGTTTTCGTTAAGATTTTTTTTTTTCTTTTTTTTTCTTTTTTTAGCTGTTTCACCGAAACAGCTCTTGTTTTCGTTAAAGTTTTTTTTTTTCTTTTTTTTTTTTCTTTTTTTTTTTCTTTTTCTCTTTCAGACTCTTCTCCATTGGGTTTGTACACGTTTTTTCTTCAGCAAGGGCATTTTGGCACTTTCTTAAATTGCATCAACCTCAGACTTGGCACACACTTAGACCACCATCCACAGATGGTCCTAGAAGAAATTCGTAATCATGACGTCATCAAGTGTCAAGTTACGTAACATTAAAAAGCATTTTTTGTCCATAGGGTTTGTACACGTTCTTTTCTCCATACGGTTTGTACACGTTCTTTTCTCTATAGGTTTTGTACACGTTCTTTTCTCCATAGGGTTTGTACACGTTCTTTTCTCCATAGGGTTTGTACACGTTCTTTTCTCCATAGGGTTTGTACACGTTCTTTTCTCCATAGGCATTGTGCACGTTGTTTTCTCCATAGCCTTTGTACCCATGGGGTCGGACAACTCGACCGTTATCCAACATGACATTTTGACAGTGTGCGCGTGCATGACTTGCCGCCCTACAGCTGGCCAGGTCCCCGCGCACTCTACGCGGTACAGTCATGGTGCCACAGATTTATGCGGCTTACGTAAATGTGACAAACTTGTATTGTAGTTGGGTATGTGAGTTGGGATAATCATGATTTATCAGAAGTTAACAACTTTAAAGAAGTTCTTAAATGTTAATGTGGGATTTGGGGGATTTGTTCAAGTGCGCCACGTTAGGAACACTGGAAAGAATTCCATATAAGCCTCCACCTCTATGGGCCATATGACA